TTTTTTTCATAGGCCATTTCCATTTACAATAAATAATGTACGCTAGTTCGTACGCGCCTTTCCTGGATACGATCCTGAAAAGGGTCCAGGCACTTTTAGCCGTTGATACACTGTTGGGGCGATCAAAAACATGGCGGAAAATTGAGAACGCCCAGATCAAAGGTGCCGACAGAGAGTGTCCCTACTAGTTATACTATGTCCAGTGGGCAGGAGCCATTACTCGTCCATTTTTCTTCCACACGTCGACCTGAACGGGTGAAGTTCCAAGTGCACCGATTATTCCACGTGGGCTCATTCTTCTACTCTAGGTTAGTCTCTATTTATCTATTTAATTCGTCTCGTCTCTTAGGCTGAAATCACATGATGCGGAATAGGAGTACGGAATAGAGAATGCGTTATAGAAACAGGCAATCAGAGCTTTGCCGTATCAACGAGTGACGGAAATGTCTGGCTCTGATTGCCTGTTTCTATAACGCATTCTCTATTCCGTACTCCTATTCCGCATCATGTGATTTCAGCCTTATTTCTAGATTAGGGCTGCGTTCCGATATTCACTGCCAGTACTGTAAAGTTCTATTTCAGTTTGTTTTAATTAATAAAGTACCGGTCGGGACGGACCCTGATTAGGAGGAACTATAGGAAACTTATACCGCGTGAGGAAAATAAGGGCGTATTTCCCGCGCTCTCCTGGTCGGAATGTCGATTATCTTGGTTCCTGTATTGTGGTGATCACTCAAGGTTCACGTGAACCTTGAGCGCCCACCAATTTCCTACAGTACTGAAAATGCATAGTATACGTGACGTAAACTTTCAGTACTGGCAGTGAATATCGGAACGCAGCCTAAAACTGCGGTGAAGCTAACGCTACAAATGTTTCGAAGCGTCTCGCTTTTCCTTAATTCTATTTTCATTGGAAGAAGCATAATGCAGCGATAACGAACAGACCAAAGGTAACTAAATAATAATAATAATAATAATAATCCCGCGTTCAGAGTACAGATTCGAGACACCTTATTGGTTCCGCCATTTTGCGTCAAACCAATCAAACGGAGAATATTTCTTGCCAGACTCTTACTACAGGGACTCTAGATATCCCTGGCTTTGCGGCCGTATTCCCTTCTGTAATCCAGATTATCCAGAGGCAAGCATCATTTCACTCATAGACATAGTATATCTAGACTGCTGGTTCTCTCAAATTTCAGGAGTGGGGGTAGAGCTCACGTAGAAAAGGATGCACTCTGTTTCGTGTCTGTGCGTTCTCTCTCGCACAGGTTAGTAACTGCTTCCCCTTATCCCCTCTTTTCGCGTGTGCGAGAGAGAACGTTCAATGCACGAAACAGAGTGCATCCTTTTCTACGTGAGCTCTACCCCCACTCCGCCAACCAGCAGTCTAGATATACTATGTCTATGATTTCACTTTCTAGAAGAATCTCTGGTTTCACCTCACGCTGTTATCGCCTATTGGATCGTCATGGCCGTATCGGATCGCGTTTAGCGTCCAGGTGCCAAACAACCGGAGGAAGAAGAAGAACCTCACGCTGTTACGCTCCATCCAGGTATTCCTTATCCATGATATCTTCTTAGGATATTATTTCATTTGTTGTACAACAAACAAATATTTTTAAGTGTTTGTTGATTGTAGGATATAGGAAAGTTCTCGAATCTTCTGGGTATCCATTCGTGTGCACTTTCTTGAGTGATATCGTTCAAGTCAGACGAACTGCGCTAACAAACTTGTGGTGGACGACTGTGCGCCCCAGACGTCGTAGATCACTTCAAATTCGTGCAGCAGCAGTAGAATGGAGAAGCGCTACACTGCGAAGTTACCATTGGAGAAATATACTGATTCCGTGAAAGAGAGACAGGACTGGAGTTGTGTAGACATGGAGAACATCAGCCACACGTGGACGCTAAATAATTTCCAGACAAACCCGAATGAGTTCAGGTCGAGTGTATTTACAACCAGCGACCTGTCCAAATGGTGCCTGGTAGCAAAAATCGTGCATAACTCTTACTACGGTGAAAACTACCTGTCATTATATCTTTGTCTCATTTCATCTAAGAAACCCACAGTCCAAGCAAAGTTCATATTGTCTGTTCTTAATCCCGAAGGGGACGAACGTGCAAAACAGAGCGATCATATTTGTGAATTTATTAATTATTGTAACAAAGCTAACTGTACTCTCATTTGGTCTGGACATGATTATAATTATTGCCAACACGACTTTGATAAATGGGGCTATGATGAGTTTGTCTCTGTGAATACTCCCGAAGCTAATGGATCGCCAACGAATATAACAATATTATGTGAGATCAGCCTAGTAACAGACACAATAAATATCTCTGACCGAAGTCGTGGAGTACGGTTGGAAGTATCGGAGTGTGAGCTGCTCAACAAATTTGGACTGCTGTTGGAGAACAAAAGTCCCGTTTTTCAGGCAATGTTTGAAAACGAGATGAAAGAGAAAAAAACTAATCAAGTGGACATCGACGATATGGAACCCGAAGTCCTGGAAGAAATGTTGCCATTTATTTACACCGGTAAAACGACGAATCTGGAAAAGATGGCGGACAGTTTGTTAGCTGCGTCGGATAAGTACCAGTTAAATACACTGAAAGTATTGTGCCAGGAAGCCCTTTGCAAAAGTTTAACCATTGAAAATGCGGCCGAGATCCTAATACTTGCCGATCTCCATAGTGCCGATAAGCTAAAAGCAAAGGCAATAAATTTCATTAATACATGTACGGGTGTGACGGACACTGCAGGTTTCAAGTTCATGAAAAAATCCTATCCCCATCTGATAATAGAAGCTTACGAAGCTATGCGAACCAATCCATCGACCGGTTTCAGCAGATAAATAAAACCAGTGGCCGCTGATTGCTTATAGGTGTGACTTCCACACCATTTCCAATTATCTCTGATAACTTGGAATTATAAAGTGATACAAACATTGAGGCTCGAATCACCCGATCATCAAACTCCGGTTAAGAATGTTGAGAGATAGAAGGAGTTTGAAGATCTTGAACCATTTTGTGCGTTAAGTCGATCGAGGGTAAATTTCAAATCGTAATTCCACATACTCGGACTTCTTGTGCTCAAATAAATGTCGCTGGTTATAGAGAACTTGACGCAAAGCGATCACAATTAGCACGCTACTCATTTCGACATCTTCGCGCGTCGGACAGAAGAATTAGATATCTGAAAACCTACGTATTCTCATTTATATCTCCTTATTTCCATCAGCATGCAAACCATTGTTCTCGATCGGCCTAAGCGCAAGCAGATTCAAAGAAACAACAGCGGCGGCAGCGTCATAATCATGGATCGACAATACAACCTTAACCATATTTGTACTTTCTCTCCCTCCCCCCCCCCCTCTCTCTCTCTCTCTCTCTCTCTCTCTCTCTCTCTCTCTCTCTCTCTCTCTCTCTCTCTCTCTCGTGTCCGAAAATACATTTTGCGCATTCGTGCACATATTAAATAATTCTTTTTCGTTAGACTTCTAATTAGCTGAGTGTTTCAAGTATGAAAATGTTCTGCTATGCGGTCTCCGCAACTTATCCTGGTATTATTTTGTGCATAAAAGCCAATGAAAAGATTTACAAGCGTAAAAATTATATTCCATGGAAGGAAGAATAACTGGTGGGATTTCCCCTCGGCCTGTCTAACCGGACGTAAGGGGGAACAGTAAGCGCCATATTGGCGTGGCCTACTGGAGCACGACTTTTGAAATAGCAATAAATACAATGTCGAAAAAATGATGTACTCTTTAGATAATTTTATTTCTTATAATGTACGTAGTTGTAAAAACTTGCAATGTGTTAAACTTTTCCATTGAAACAAATGAGTCGTAATTTATAAACTTGAAATTTTTTTAATGTAACATAAGTAATGATATACTCTTTTTTTAACAGCGAAATACATATGTATATATATATCCTGGAATATTATTATCTCTTTTACGATTTTACGTTCGTAGAAAAGTGAGATGGCCTAGGTTTCTCTCTCACTCGCGGGAATTTGACAAACTCGGCCAGTCTCTGATTACAGGGTCTCTAGGTTAGGCTTAGATTAGGTTAGGTTTCTCTCAGCTATACGCACGTGTTGTGTGCCGTTTCGTTCTTGTTCGTCGCCAACTGATGTATATACCTCCGTGCACTTTCTGCACTCAAACTGAGATGGATGCATATCTGGCTTTCGCAAGGCGGGAAAAAACGAGATGCAAAAGGTGCAACTGCAGCGTGCGTATTCCAATGTGTGCGTACAACGTATAACTGGATAATACAGGTGAGCAGACTTTCTTCGCACGTACAACTGTAACGAAATATTTCCGGAGACATTCGGATGCGTTTCGCGAGCTAGAAACTAAACGACGTGACGAAAGAGACAGACAGATAGAGATATTACAACCGTATTCTCACATACGAGTGAAGCTCCTGGCTGCACTTGCAGCAGTTTGTGATGATTGTCAATTAATCTGATAAGATTAAGCATTGCGAGACGCGAATTGTGCAGTTACTGTTATCGTTTTGTCTCGAAGGGTAAACTTTCCTTGTCGACGTACTTGTCTGTGCGCACCTTGCAGAAACATCAGTGTTAATTGTGTCTCGTGGTCTTTAAATTAATAATACATGTAATTAACACAGCCGATTGTAAGCGTACATGCAACTTGAGTACTAATCATTTCAAAATAATTCTCTCTTCATCTCGTGTGTCAGACTCTCGAGAAGTAATTATGCCTCGTGCGAAGAGACCCCGAGCAAAAAGCGACGATTCGTCCAGCGAGAAGAAGAAGCTCAAACGATCGAATTTAACAATAAGTATCGCAGATTACATGATTCGTTCGCCAACCACTTCTGGAATTAAACAAGATGAGGATGGAGAGAAGGAACGTGCATCCGCAATGCCTGACGCGAAGGGAGACACGACTCGGCGTACCACTGCAGCGTCTGTACCCTCTTCCAATAGGGAGGAAAATGGAAATGCAGCCGAACACGTGTCCACAGTATCCGCGTCCATCCCCGATAAGTTGTTGTCGATCGAGCAGGAGCTTTGTGCAAAATTGGTAGACGTTACCTTCCCGGCGTCCATACAGTACATTTACAATCCGCTCGATTATGCGTCTGAAACGCACTCCGCGTACGTGCGCAAGTACTGTACTGGCGTAAAGAAGATTTTGTTCGTGGGTATGAATCCCGGGCCGTGGGGCATGTCGCAAACTGGCGTGCCGTTCGGAGAGATAAATATGGTGCGCGACTGGCTCAAGATCTCCGGCCCGGTCGGCAAACCCCCAAAGGAGCATCCCGACCGAATCGTCGTGGGATTTCAATGTACGCGCAGCGAGATCAGCGGACTGAGGCTGTGGGGCCTCTTCCGACGCCTCTGCGGAAGTCCCGAGAATTTTTTCCGACACGCGTACATGCACAATTACTGCCCACTCGCATTCATGGACGCCCGAGCTAAGAACATCACGCCGGCGGAATTAAAGGCAATATTCATCCTGCTGTATTCTCTCCTTTCTTACGCTGAACTGTCTGTACTTTTCAGGGCGATGGACAGAGGATTTTACACGAGGCGTGCGACAAAGCCCTGATCGACATAATACGGCTCCTGAAAGCGGAGATTGTTGTTGGCATTGGCAACTACGCCGAGAAAAGAGCACAGATCGCGGCCCAGACTGGAGGTCTTTCAGTAAAGGTGACGTATGCAAGTTATTTAATAGTAATCACGATACAAAATTTATGTACTAACTTGTAAGTGGGTTTTCTAGGTGATGGTCCTGCGACATCCCAGTCCAAGAGCCGCAGGTAATCAACATTGGGACAAAATAGCTATGGACCGGCTGGACGAATTGCAGTTACTTAAATATTTCGAGAAAGCAAGTAGTACCGTCTAAATTTTCTCTCGCGCAGAATACGATTGTTTTTAAAGATACAAACTTCGGGCGGCAATTTTTTCCTTTGTTTCATCTAAGGTAACATTTACATTTTTTTATAAAGACGGAAAAATTTTATAGAGAACTCTTCAATATTGGTTTTTAAGAATATCTCAAACTTGCCATATATAGCATAATATTTAATAGTACCTATGGATACCTTGGCGTGGATGGACGTTGCATTACAAAAAGCCGAGGAGTCCTTGAGAGCTGGCGAAGTCCCGGTTGGTTGTTTATTTATCTATAATAACGAAGTAATTGCGACGGGCAATAATACGGTAAATGAAACTTGTAATGCGACTCGCCATGCCGAGATAAATTGCATCGACCAAGTCCTAAAGTTCTGTACGGAGAAACGCACGGGCTGCGAAACGGTGTTTCGTAATCTAGATGTAATTGTCACGGTGGAGCCGTGCATAATGTGTATGTCGGCACTGCTTCAACTACAAGTACGGAGTATTGTATACGGCTGTGCGAACGATCGATTTGGCGGTTGCGTCAGCGTTCTTGAAGTACCAAAGCTTTACGATCCGAAAGTAGTGATACAGGGAAATGTTAAAGGAGAGGAAGCCATGAGGTTGCTTCAAAGTTTTTATAAAGGCGTCAATCCAAACGCGCCCGAGTCAAAAATCAAAAAAGGACGCAAGACTAAAGGAACTTTGTCAGCGGAGAGCAAATAATCTTTCCGTTTCTTTTTAATTCTGAACTCACGTTAAACATTAATTTTTATACATCTGGTATATTACACAAGTACAAAATATGTTCTTAGTCATCGCGTAATACGCTGCTCCAGCATATTTTATAGCAATAAATCTCTTTGTGGTTTTTTAAATTCTAAATATATAATGTACAAATAAGACGGCCTAATATCATTAAATTCAATGTCCACATATTATTACTTTACATGTACATGTTAAACTATTTTCATACTGTGTTCCTACTTGTTTATACAATATATATACAGTTTTATATATTGGAAATAAATATTACAAGAGAATTCGCGATATACTGTTGATTTCATTATGATCAACTGCACCATGTCTTGTCTAATTCGCATTTTCCTTGGTACCATCTAACAAGTAATTGATTTCTGAGTGTGTAGTTCTTCAGCGTCATATCCCTCGTCTACAAAAAGATGCATCCGATTAGAATCCAGACGAGAAAAATAGAATTATACGAGAAAACGCAACTTACTATTGGCGGCGGAAAAATTCTCAGAAAGTCCATTCGGTTCTGATGCTCCAGATAACTCTGCGTCAAAATGAGTTTCGTCTCCGACGTGAAGCACGGTCGGCACAATTGGCACTCCACGCGGAAGCAGTCGTTGTCACACTTTTTACAGAGTTCCGGCAACACTACGATATTCTTGTTGGCTATTTCCATCTCATCCTCTTTTTTACTTCTACAACATTTGATGCACCAATAATCTAAATATCTTTCATGTAACTATAATTCTACTGTGTACTCTTTTCAGATGGAAGTTACATCTCTACACGGGATTTTCTCTTAAAATTACTCTGAAAATCATGTAATTGTGAGACAACATTTTGAGGAACTTGATGAAAGTTTTTCGAATTTTTACCATATATTTTATGTATGATAAAATTTCAAAAACTCATAAAATTCTTCGAAATGCCATATTGTCCCATTACACGATTTCAGGATAAACTTCAAGAGGAAATTCTCTCCGTGTAGAAATGTCTATACTTTTAGAAGTGCTTTGATACGTTGTGCTGAACTTACCTTGTCCTCAAGGATTCTTTTCTAGTTCTCTTGGCGATACCAACCAGTGCGAGTGTATTGAATATGACCTGCTCGTAGAGCAACTGATTCGGAGGATAATGGGCAGAGGACAGATTTGGCGACATGTTCGCCTCCATCGTGTAGACGTTGAGGTCCTCGTCGAGGGCCAGGTCGAATCTCACGAGCTCGAAGAAATTTCTGCCGTTGCCGAAGCGCTTGGAGACCTCTCTGATCTGCGCCTCCTTCATCAGAGCGACCTCGCGAATGGCGTCGTACACCCGGTCCCACATTTCTGCTGGATTTTTTCCTCGCTCTCTCACGTACGCGTCGAACGAATCCTTCATCGAGTACCCGAGTTCGGTGTAGTATTTCTTCAAAGATGGCACGTTCCAGATCGGCAAATAATCGTCGCCGACCACGTACTTGTCCAGGATCTTCGGGTCGAATGGATAATACTCGACTGGGCAAAAGCGGAACAGCACGTCGCCCTTGTAAACGTACACCCGCAGCGGATCCACGGACGTGACGACGGTGTATACACCTAAGTCAAACTTGTAACCGTCCACGAGGAACGGCCGCTCGATGAACTCCTGGACGAATGTGCCGGCGGTGAAATTGGCGTCGCCGCTGCTGCAAATGCGGATGCCTCGATGATCATTTAACTTTTGCACGAATCGCTTCGCGGGATTCGACTTGGCGTAATCGAGGAAGGCTTGCCGGTCCTCGGGCATCTTGAACGCCGCCGGGATGTACCGGCCGCCACGCGACGTCGACAGGTCTACCTTGTTCGTGATGTAGCCGCAACCAGGGAAGTGGTTGACTCGCTGGTGCTGTTGCAATTTAATCAAGCTCGCGGACAACACGCGAAACGGATAATCGTGGGCCCACAACAGATCCCAGTCGGACTCGTTGTTGCCCTCCTGGAAGCCGAGTCGTTGGAGCACCGCGTGCACATGTTTCAAGTAACCGGTGTGGTTGCTCTTGGCGTAGACCCAGAATCGCGGTCGAGCCTCATTTATTACAATCGGTCTTTCGATCAGATACCTCCAGTGCGTTTGATAACGCAGATATACGAAAAATATGCCGTAGAGGATCAGAGGACCCACTACAGAAGATAGAATTATCTTCGGCACTTTCTTCATCTTCAGATTCATGATTTGTCTCTTCATGGCACGTTGTGTTCTCTGTAACAGCATCATTTCGACTCTGTTTAAACTTTCTTAAGTCTATAAATTAAAGACATATTTCATTCTACTAATAATTTTGAACGTCCAAGGCCCGGTTTCGCCAACGTTGTTTAACATTAAGCTTAGCTTACTTCGTTCTTTGTCTCTTTCCAACTGTTACTTTAGAGACAAACGTGAATTAAACTAAGATTAAAGTTAAGCGATGTTTGGTGAAACCGGGCCTAAATATTTCCGAATAGAAAAAGAATTTATTTAAATTTTTAGTCTCTATTCTACTACATTGACCTCATTATTAATATAGTAACAAAAACAATTTTTAAATCATTTTTTGCGTTTCGTACCTCTTCGTCCTGCTCTTTCTCACGCTTCTTTTCGTCTGACATAGTGATATTTTGATTTCAGCGGGACTAGAATTCATTCAATCGTTCGGTCCGCAACGAGATTGCTCTTGAACACTGAAATGCACATCATGTGAAAGTATGTACCGTTGTAACTTATCCCCGCTTTACCAACCGCCTTCCACGTGGGAGAACCATTGGGAAACCGGTTTCTCTTTACAGCTACAATGAGCTATCTTCTCGGAGCACGAATTACGACGTTCATCGCGTAACCATTGTTAGAAATAAATAAAACTTCCATAGTAATATGGTGATACTAATTATGAGGTAACATCCCAGATAGCACAAGACACTCCTATGGACATTTTAAGGCCATTCTTATATATGTATGTATCTTACGTTCGTAGAACATTCGACTGGCACTACTATAAATCTTTTTCGAGTGTGAATAGAATAATCTATCGAATCTAGCGTGTCGGTTATACATGGTATGATCACAGGTTTCACTGCCTTTTGAATAAGATAAGTGTATCACACAATAAACAATGTGCAATACATAAATTCAATGAATATTAAAAAATTATTCTGAACGAATATTCCAAAGACGTTCTCGACAAATATTCCAAAAATATTCTGAATATTCTGAAATTAAGAATATTTGCACTCCAGAAGAATATTCATAGAACTACGTGTGCAATCTGGGATAAGGAGGACTAACGACTATAATAGTAATATACGCAATGTACAATCAGAAAATTGATTTTAAATGATATATTGGCTGTTTTTAGCTACTACTTTTAATTATTGAACAGTTTAATGATGCATTATAAAATGTAAAATACAGGGTGTACTAAAACCACCGGAGGTCCTCTTAATGACAGATTCCTTAGAACATTTCCAGACGAAAATCCTGATACAAAAGTGTCGAGGCTATAATAGTTTTTAAATTAGAAGCAATTTTTTTCCGCAAATGATAGGACTGAAATTTCGCGCGCTCAGGCACGGCGAAATGACAAGTAATATTGTAAATTTATACAATAAACATAACATCATAAAAAGAGCGATATTCATAGGAGCACTTATATCACTTGTCATTTCGCCGTGCCTGAGCGCGCGAAATTTCAGCCCTCTCATTAGTGGAAAATAATCGCTTCTAATTTAAAAACTATTATAGCCTCGACACTTTTGTATTAGGATTTTCGTCTGGAAATGTTCTAAGGAATCTGTCATTAAGAGGACCTCCGGTGGTTTTAGTACACCCTGTATAATACAAGTAAGCATATATCACGTTTTAAGTGTGCAATTATTTTTAACGTGACTTTCTATAGCCATAAATTTTGATCTGTTCATATAATCGTCTTTTTGCATACGTTTTATATTTATTAAAATACTAAAATAATTTTTATATTTATTAAAATACATTAAGACGCTTAAAAATAATTTATTAGTTGTGTTTGATTCCTTATATTTGATTGTCATATGTTTCATAATGTTTAGGTTATTTTATTTAAGAGAGAATTTGATAAATTTGTACTTTAAATTAAAATATATAGTCATCAATCTTATATGCAAAATGTTGATAAAGTCTCTGCGTTTGGTGGAAAAGATAAATTTTCAAAGAAATGTACAAATATACGATTACAAGTGACGAAAGATTCAAATCAATCCGAAAAAATCATGAAATTATGAACCATTGTAATGATTGTTTTTCATATACTGTTCATATAATGTCTATAAATTTCATATCTATATTTAATTTAGGATTTATGAAATTTTATGGCAAAAGAATTTCTCTTTAATTTTTAATAAAATTTCTCTTTTTTTAACATTCCATGCGAGAGAAATTGCAATAAATATACATCTAAGTGAATTATATAAATTTTTAAAAATGATTATATAAATTTGAAAATTAAGTTCCATTTATTCATAAAGTTTAAAAAAATTTAAGCAGAAACTAATAATAAATGTAAATAAATGGAAAAATAATTATGTAGAAAATTCATGTGTATTCTAAATAAGCGCCTCTTTACATCCACCTATCAAACGCGGTCACGTGATCAAGCGCGCAGGCCCGCAGGTCAGGTTAGCTTTCTAGGAACTTCGCATGGCGGGGTCGGGTAGGTGAGGTAGGGACAGAAGATTCCATCAGTTCCTTCTGTTTCTTCTGTTCCTCGGTCATTTCCTGTATCTTACGTCCGCGGACTCGTCGCAGGAGAGTAGTAGACACGTGTGAACATGGGTTTCCAAAATATCTGGTATTCACATCCACGAAAGTACGGTCAAGGATCTCGATCCTGGTTAGTAAAACGCTCTTCTCGTTCTCGCGAGCTTTTATCAGCGATTACATTCGTTCGACGCGCAAAATAGGACGATCGCGTGGCGTCTTAGCGAGCGTCGTCGCGTAACGAAAAACTCGATTCAGAGCGAATTAACGCTTGATATAATCATTAAAATTCGAAATAATTGGAAATTTCGAAATTGAAGTATATGTATTATCGTTAATTATCACTATCGTCCGTGCAAATCTCGTACTCGCGGTCTAACCTTAAAAATGTATGACGAGCGCCAAGGTATCAAAAATAATTGAAGACTATCCTAGTAGCACAGTGTATTAGCTAAACATTAGCCCGATACAAATATCGGGCCAATGTTTAATCAATGTTTGGTCCATGCGTTGTGCTACTAGGGTTGTGTAGCGATAATCAAGCTTTTTAGTCTACATTAACCGACCAATGTTTTAACACAGAAACTTTATCGCGAAAAATATTACCTCAGGCAGGTTCAAACCCTGGCTGAGGTAATATTTCGGTTAATGTCGACTAAAAAGCTTGATTATTGTTATTTATTACTGGCAACTTAAAGAAATTTCTATAGTTATGTTAATTAAACACAATAAACGAGCGCTGGTCTAACAAAAGATTGCAAACGCTTCAGTCCTCATCGATGAGAAAGGCACTTAAAAAAACATGTTGACTAATGGACTATCCTTGTTGCACTTTTGGTTAAACTAGAATTTCTCCCCTCAAAAGGCTCCGGAACGTTACAAGTCCAGGATATAAAATAATTGCAGATGAAAATCAATCACAGCACGAAATTTATCGCAAATAAGTCGATTAATCTCTCGAATCAAATTTATCATACATCGCTGTCACATATCACCCATTAGGCTTGTTTTCTGTTGCTACACTGGTGCAATAAATTCGAGTAAGACAAGTATGTTTTTCTCACTCTAGCTTACTGCACTAGTTCATCGGTGCAGCAATAGAAAACAAGTCTATTGTTACATATATTAGATCGAAATATTGTGTGATCTGAATGAAATCGGTTTTGTTGCAGCCGTGCCTGCGCGAATAGACATGGGCTTATTCGCAAATACGGCCTGAACATCTGCCGACAGTGCTTCAGGGAATATGCGGCTGATATTGGTTTCAAGAAGGTAAATATATCCACCCATGTCTTTGGTGCGTTACAATGTAAACGTACGCGATTTAATGCAACTAAAGTTTCTTTCTTTGCTTTACAGCTGGATTAAATATAATGTAAGGATTAGTACAAGCAATTCAACAAATCACTATGATTTCTGCACCAACACGCTGGAGTAAAATTGACAACTGAAAAATGGAGATCCGAACATCATGCTGTACGGCTGTTCTTCTTGAAATAAATATATTTATGTCCACATAAGCCAACATTTTGTTTTGTACACGTTCTTTTACAGTTTATCCACGCGCAAATTTTTTGCGCGTATTCGTTGGCTACGAAATCAAATTTTTCTAGACTGCAAGATCCAACTTCGTTACTTTTCATCTGTAACTTGTTATTGTAAATGTAACTCTGTTACATTTTTTCAATAACTGGTAACTAATTTAATAGTTGCCGGAGAGAAACTTGAGCGCGGCCACGCCAGCGTTTTACTCGATACCATTTCAAGAGACTGTTTTGCGCACCTTTACGCCCATTTTTACTCTTGCAACTATTTTGCTACGCATCTTCTGACACTGCCGATAAAGGGCGTTTTCCAGCAAGTTACACAGACGACACAGTGTAACACTGTGTCCGACACAAAGTGTTTCAACTACGACACAGTGTCACACTGCTCGACACAGTAAAAAGCTAAGTACAAGCGTGTAAAATATCCCAGTGTAACCAACATTTAGAAAATTTTATATTTAAATTGTGGTATTAATGCTTTTGAACATAACTTATAAATAATATAATAGTATACGAAGATTCAAAGACGTTAGAGGTAGATCTACCGCACAAGCTTTTCCACAACGCGTTATGTTAAGTTCTGAATAAACTTAAATCCGTACGTAAACTTAGTAATTCAACGCACAAAAACTCATAACATATTATTGCGTCAGGCTTTTGCTACTTTACGATTTTCTTTGTGCATTGATTGAAGTTTAAGGTTACGAACGGTTCTAAGTTTACGATGGTTACGTTCAACAGAACGTTTATTTTGCAACTGTTGGAAATTTTCTTAATTCACTCTTCGTCTCTTTCTGTTCCTTTAAAAAGAGACAAGAATTAAGTTAGTTAAGCTAAGGTTAAAAATAAGCGACATGTACTATTCCATTAACGTAATGCCCTCTAGTACGATTTTTAGAAATTAAACCTACACTTTCACCGTTCCAACAAGAATTTTACACGGTGTAAT